AAGAAATAGCCACATCTATAAATACACGCAGGAGACAAAAGGAGGATGTTGTGTTCATGTTGTGCGTTCACGGAAAGGTGAAGCAGGCAATTTGTCCTCTGTGTGCGTATGTGGGTGAGAGAGAGTGTATGTGAGTGATGGCTTGTGCCGCCACAGAAATGTTATGTGCGTGCACCCGAGTGTGAAATGAACGCCACTGTCTACCCGACTAGGCCCCTCCTCTGACCCACACGGCACCGCCAGGGAACACCACTAAGTCAGTCAGCCAGTGTGAGTGTGTGTGTGTGAAAAAGAAAATGAAATGATCGCATTTTCGGTAATTTGACATTTAAAGCGGTGTTTGTAGGTCAGCCCTGGTAGCCTGGCTGTGAGAAAAATGTTGCGCGTATTAGTCACTCGGACTCATTTGTGCTGTTAGCGTAGCGAATATCATCCTAACGAGCTAAATGTTGTCTGTTTGTCCCTCTGGTGCTGACTCGCATCTGCCAACCGAGGGAAGAGAATGTGAGGAAGTGGGATCGTGGAAGTCATCAGTCTTTCTTGTTTTGCACAATACACTGAACTTTGCCGTATCACTGAATAGAAATGTTGAATGTGAAATGTGAAATATTGCAATAATCTGGATATCTCAATATTCGACACCCGTATCCCATGTCGCATTTTTTTCCAATATTGTGGAGCCCGACATAGCACCTCTAACATGTTTTCTGAAGTGATTTGACAGACAGAATAGTAAACATGATAAGTCACAAAACCAATCGTCATGCTCATACATTGTATCAGGCCAAATGCAAAACCACCAGCAAAATGTCTGCGTTTATGTTTGAACTCTTCATTGGCCCATGTTGTGACTGAGCAAGATTGTATGACTTGACTTATGACTTGTTTAACCCAAGTAATGACTTGATTTAGCTTGTCTGAAATTTATTGGGGATGCCACTTGACTCGCCTGTGTTTTGCCACTGTAACTTGAAACTTGAAGCTGAAGAATTGAGACTTGCCGACTCGTGTGTGACTTACTGCCACCCATTCTGGTACATACAGAGAGAAAATATTTCTGCAAAGGGTCGGAGGTGCCCACTGGTAATCAGGAAGTCTTTGGGGAAAATGAAGAGAAAAAAAAAGCAAGCTCTGCAGACGGAGAGTGAGGAACCCCAAAATATGAGCGAGCATCAGTCTGTGTGCCAACAGTGTAAACAAGCTGATTGGTGTTTTGCGACTGGAGCAGTGAGAGTGACAGCTGGGCGGGTGGGACGCGACACGCCGCAAAAGGTCGGCCCGCCGTCCGCCCGCACGTCACTTTGAAATGGAAAAAAAAAAAAGCCAAAGACGGGAAGAAGCAAAAGCAAAACCATGTGTGCTTACTTTCCACAGCTTTTCCACTCGCCGCTGATAGTCGCCATTACTGTCAATTAGCCGTTGGAACATGACTAATGACGACACGTTATGTAAGGCTCGGCTGGCTCACCACAGGGCGGTCCGAGCCGGGACTCTGGTCTGCGCAACCATTATCAAACAGCAAACTTTTTATCTTTTTCTTTTTTTTTTTTTTTTTAAACTGTTGTACGGGTGGTCTGTCAGTCTTCTCTTACCAACAGAAAGGACGTGTGACATCCTAGGAGGAAGATTGCTATTTCGTCTTGCCAATCTTCAAGCCATGGTTTTTGATGTTTTTTTTCCTGTATCCAACCAAGCAAGTTTGACTTTGGAGTTCCCGTCTTCAATGTAGTACCGCATTTTGCCACAACATATACGAGGCAGCACTGAGCAAAGCAGCACAAACATAAGAGGAAGAAGAAGAAAAACCTTTATTTGTCTCACAATGGAGAAATCCTCAATTTACAGCAGAAAAATTATGAAAAGGAGAAAGTAGAAAAAACAAAACAAGTATTGCATGCATACAAAAAAAAAATTAAAAAATAACTGTACAGTACAGAGTGAAATATAAAATATAAGCATATATGCATATGCCAAAGTGGCTGTGCGATTTAAATGGGTGAGTGGGGGGTGACTCCAGGTTTTCATTTGCGCCTATTCAACAGCCTGAGCAGTAGGCAGGACCGAGAATATTTTCCTGTGAGTTTTGTTTAGTTCTTTCTTTGAATGTGTTGCTGCTCCATGCGTGTTAAACTAGCAGTTGTTTACAGGTTTAGAATTACCATAACCTCCATGCTCATTTCCATGAGTCCATTTAGCATTTTGCATCGTATGTTAGCATCAAGCTAGTCGAATTTTGCTACGTGAAAAGACATGCTTTCTTTGAATATTGGTGTACAATGTTTAATTAGCTTGTGTTTTACGTGTCAGTTTTACGTTAAACTTTAGCAGGGAGCCACAGTCACAGAGTTTAGTTGGCGCCTCTACTGCATATTGCAGATTCAAGCGCATCCCTTTATCCCGGACTCCTTTTGCCTGCATTTGGAATGCAAACCAGTAATTGAGAGGGGACAGACAGACAGAAGAGATACAAGAAACTGCAAAAAAAAAAAAAAAAAGACAGCAACATTCCCACTTAATCCTGCATGTGGAGGAGCAGAAAAGAGGAAATAGCATCAGACAACAATAGCAAACATTACACCTGCTGGACCTTGAGTTGTCAGGGGGTACTGACTGACTGAAAAGAGAGCAAAAAGCAATAACAAAAGATGACAAGGGTTCAGACAGAGAACTACTCGTAATTTGATAAAGGGCAGACAGGAGAAAACAACAAAAAAGCAATAACACCTTTGGTTAATTAGCTCGCGATGAGACATCGAGAAAACAATTCATTGCAAGAACAACAACAAAAAAGACAAAAGCAACACCATTTAGTTGGAGAGGGAACAAGGAGAAAAAACAAACCAAAAAAAAGACAGAAATATGCATAATGATAACTTTTGGTTTCAGGAGGTGCAGAGTTGGAAAGAGAAACATCGGGTACGTGATTGTGTTTCCCTCTTAAAATACATATGTTGTGTATGAGTCATGTTGCTTTGGCCGTGCTGATTGCTTTTCCTCGGTTCATCCAATGTGTTTATGCGTACAACTTTTCCAAACTGTGGCCCTCTTGTTAATGAAGACATTGTGGCCACTACTTCTTCCATGATGCGTCTGCGTCAGGATTCTTTGCGCTCGGGCACTCTGCTCCTCTTTTGGCTGGCGACCGGGCGGGCATGAAATTAGTGAGCGGTTTGAGGTGGTCATAAATACGTCGATGTCGTTACTTGTTACTTGCGGTGTACTCACTCTCTGTACTTGAGTACTTTGTAGAAGTACAGACACTTGTTTAGAAAATGTTTTTTTAGAGAGTATGACGGGGTAAACCTGCCAGTACCTCAACAGGCATAACGCAACAAGAATCGGTCTGTAGTGGGACAGGAAGGATTTTTATTTATTCGTCAGCATCTCACATTTGCTGCCTCCAACTCTTCTCAAGTTAAGGTATGTTTACCTGCAATAGCTCACCTGTTCATAAGCCTTAATGCTGAATGTATATCTGCCTTAGATTGTTGGTCTGAGAGAACTTTGCTTTTACTCTTCTATACAAGCAAAATGCAGGGGAGAATATGCTGTAACTTCTACTTTTGTGTTTGGTAGGAGAACGAAACGAGGCTGAAAACAGGCCTTTCTTGGCTGAGGTCATCACATTTTCAATCAATTAATTAACAACTTGGCTTTCGGGACTGCCGCTGAGAACCGGATGTCTTCAACCTTCAGATAAGAAGGATGGACGTCCAACTGCAATGTCAGAATTGAACCACGTGAACAGAAGCCCGCAGAGGACGACGTGAGGGGAGAACAAAGGTATTCCGAGGACCCGTTGTTCACACCAGGCTGTTGTTCACACCAAGCCCTTGCTCGCACCAAATGTTCACACACCAGGTCATTGTCAAGGTGACTCAAGTAGTGACTGACAATTGCATAGCAATATTAGAACAGTGCAAACTCAGCTTGATAATGGTCCATCATCCTGATTCACCACCTCACAGTTTCATGGCGAGAGCATTAAATCACTCCCTTTTGACCCAGCATATTCTCAGGGGGCCAACTTCAAGGTCGACGAGTCCCTGAATGGACACCCGTCTGTCAGTGAACCCCCACAATGTCGCTTTTTAATGTATAACGCAGATTTTTAAGTGTTCATTTTCTATGGGTCTTTACCGTATATATAGGAAAGTCTAAATTTAGAGTCTATGACCGCATTGTGTCACAACATGCCAGGCGGCGCTGAGCTCTGTTGGAAGCGTAATTCACAGCAAGAAAAAGGGGGAAAGAAGGCACAGGGTTGGGAAGGTTATGTTCAAAACGTGTTCTGATGCTAACCCGCTAGCTCACCGCTAGCTACCCCAACAGCACTGCTGACAGTGGTTTAAGTGTGTTTATTTATTGTCTGTCGAAATTTTCACCGATCAATGGTGTGTCTGGAATGCATCTCTTGCAAATTAACAACAGTTAGCTGAAGTGGTAATGTCATGACTTGTTGGCTGTGATCTTATTGTTCAGCTGGAGGCCTCGCCGCGATTTCCAAATAGCTGACTTTTGTATTCGGCGGCGTCAAGCCCCTCGGGAAGAGTCAACCTTTTGCTACCGACGAGCGGCAGTCTTAACGCTGTTCCTTCCTTCTTGTAGCGTAGCCATTGTTCTCCTCGCGGCCACCATTTTATGTCAAAACTTGTAAACGTTTGCCGGGTGGTCAACTCACGCTCCAGCCAGAAGGATTGGAGCATAAAAGATGAATCCAACTCCAGGCTGGACCTTTTATCACCCCTGCTCGGTCATTTTGGATTTAATAGACATCTTTTATTGTGTGTGTGTGTGGGGGGGGGGGGGGGGGAGGCCTTTTTCGCGGCGC